AAGAAAATGAAATACAATCAGTTGAGTTTCCCTCTATATTCTATATGAATTGTGAGTGAATTCCCTCTATACTCTATAAGAGTTGTGAGTGAGTAAAGAGTTTAAACTTTGACATTGGACAACCTTGATATAATACTTTAACAACTAGGATTGTGAACTACGCACAAGGAGAAGACAATGAGAGCATTACTGAAGTCACACATGGGCCCAATCTCAATATAACTCCAACCTAAACTCAATGACTCATGGCATTACTACAACAATTGAGTGGACCTAGTGGTATCTTTGTACTTTTTAATCATTTTCAAATTTCTATAATAAAGCCCATTGACATTAAAAAGCCTAATGGGAATTTGGTCACCTCACATTTTTTTTTAGCACTTTTTATTTTTCACCAAATTTTTTTATTCATCGTGTCTTTATTTTCCACAATTTAATTTTAAATTTCATTTCTATTTCAAAATTAATTTGTAACTTCTCTTACACAATAACCTTCTTTCATATCTTTTATAAATTCTAGGAAATAAATTCATTGAAGATGATTGATTTTGATAAGATACAAAAAGGTGTATACTACTTGTAAGTCAACAAGAACAAGTCAAATTCATCACCCAAACCTTCCCTTGTGAACAACCTCATCAACACTTCAATTATTTGGCATCTTATACTAGGTCACTTGTCTGGAAACAAGTTGAACGTTTTACATCAATAATTTTCTTTTATTTCCAAGTCTATAAATGAAAATAGTGATGTTTGCCATTTGGCCAAACAAAAAAGAAATATTTTACTCACCTAGTATTAGTAGAACATCAAAAATATTTGAGTTTACACTTGGATATTTGAGGTCCTTTTTCAACATATTTCATACATGGTCACAAATATTTTTTAACTTTTCTTGATGATTATAGTCTCTGTACCTAGCTTGTTTTGTTAAGATCGAAAGGGGAAGTTAGTTCACATGTACAAAATATCGCTCACTTTGTAGAAAATGAATTTGAAACCAAAGTCAAATATGTAAGGTCTCATAATGGACATGAATTTTTTATGATGGATTTCTTTGCATCAAAAGGAATTTTGCAATAAACAAGTTGTGTTGCCACACCTCAATAATATGTAAGAGTGGAAAAAAATATCAACACATTCACAATGTGACAAGAACCCTCATGTTTCGACCTCAAATACCAAATCATTTTTAGTTATATGCCATCAAACATGTTGCTTCTTTGATTAATCGGGTGTCATCCCTATTAATAAATTGGCACAAAATGTCTTTTGAACTTTTGCATTATCAAACACCAGATTTTCATGCACTTCAACGTTTTGGTTGCTTGGCATATGCTTCCATACACACTACTAACTGTCACAAATTTGACCCTCATTCTAGATGAGGAAGGTTCTTAGTTTTTCAAAAGGGCACTAAGGGATACATCATTTTAGAATCAGACACTAAAGAAATTTTTGTTTCCAAATGTGATTCTAAATGAAGAAGTGTTATCCTTCCTTAATACACCACCTCTTCAAGACAATCTATTTTCTATCATTGGCCCAAATCATATATATACTAAGGGTCATATTCATGTCCAAACATTATCCTTTCAACTTGAGCTCAACTAGCAATCATTCACACATCAAGCGAAGTATTTGTGCGAGCCAAAGTCATTATTCCTTTACATCACACACATCGCCTCTTAGTTCTTCACCACCACCTCCACCTTTGTTATGCTACTCCACATGGCCACACAAATCTCTTGTCACTCTTGCTGACTTTCACTACAACTTCCTTAACTAATCATCTTCAAAGTGTTTGTGTCCGCTTCACATTGTTCTCATTCTTAACTTTTTGAATCACATCAACACTATGTCATGGCCTTGTGATCTAAATCTGAGCCTTCAAGGTTTCATGAAGTGATTCAACCCCAACGTTGGCTTGTGATTCTCATTTTTTTCATGAAATCAAACATTCTAAGTTTTTTAAGATATTGTAATACAGAGTATAAATCTAGGCCGAATCTGTCAAGGACAAATTGATTGGATTCATTTTTTAATATTATTTTCGTATAAGTTAATTTGAGGTTTTAAGGATTTGGAAATGTAAAAAAATCAAATTGGAAAATGTATTAGGAATCAAAAACCGAATCAAGAAGATGAAAATAGATCAATCCACAAATTTAAGAACCACACCATAATTTTATCATAGTTTTCTAAAGATTTAGATTTAAGTGTGAACATTTAACCGATTTAATTAATCAACTAAATCAATTATATGAATTAAATCAGTATCTTTCAATCTAATTCGTATTTAATCATCAAATTAAGAATCAATTGATACTTAATTTGATTCTAAAATAAAAAACGCAATTCGCAATTACATAGAGCAAAACTAAGATTAGAGAAGAGAAAAACGAACTCAGAACGATAAATGATTGATGAAAAACTCAATTCGTCTTATTTGATCTTGATTTTGGGAATTGATTATCAAGATTTAGTTCTTCATAGATGAAGAACACCAAAACAAATTTTGGAGAAGAATACATGAGAAGAGGAAAAGAAAAAATAGAACTGAGAGTTAAGAGTGAAAAAAGAAGATGAAGTGGAGACCATTTCTCGAATTGAAAATTTAGTAAAATGATTTTTATATGAATTTGTTTAAAGCACACCTAGACTATTTAGTTTTGAAATCTGATGCAAGCATGAACTTAAATGTGGACTCTTATTAGGTTCATAAGTCCAGTTATAAAAGTTTAAACTAATACAAAGAAAATCTAATTCACATGAGTTTCTTTATAAAATTTCAGTAAATCTGCTTTAAATTCTCAAAAATATAGAAAATAGTAGAGACCTCTGAATCCAACAAATCATATGTCAAATTCAAAGTCTTAGAAATATAGAATAAAATGCATCTGAAGTCAGCAAAAAATAATATCTACAAAAAAAATTATGGCCAAAACATTGAGCAAATGTCAGATAAGATGAACATACAAAATTAAAGTAAATATGTACATTGAACCCAATTAATTACTATTGAAAGAAAATGAGTTAAAAACTAAAAATAAAACATATGGAAAGTGCGTTCATTGTACAATAAAACTGTAAATGTGCGTACAAAATATGGGTTAACAGTCTAATGCCATGCATCTGTGATGAAAGCTTTGGAATTAAATGAGACTTGTGTAGTTGCGAAGACTCCCCTCAATGTCTGACCAATTGGGTGTAATTGGATTTTTAAAATCAAACAGTACCTTGACAAAAGCATGGAATATTACCAAACTCACTTAGTCACCAATGGATTTGCACAAATAGAGGGCATTGAGTACTTTATCCCTTTCCCTCCCATGGTGATGATGATCACCATTCAGGTTGTTCTTGCTTTAGACTCCATCAACCATTGGCATCTTCATCAACTTGATGTAAGCAATGTATTCTTACACGAAGATCTTTCAGATGATGTTTATGTGACTATTCATTTGGCCTTGGTCATTCCCCATCTTCTTATTGTTGCAAATTGCTCAAGTCATTATATGGATTAAAATAGGCAAGTTGAACATGGTATGAGAAGTTATCAATCTTGTTGATATCATGTGACTATCAGCAAACTCATGTAGATCATAGTCTATTTATGAAGAGCAAAGGGTCTATGTTTACTATCCTTCTAGTTGACGTGGATGATATTGTAATCACAAACAATTGTGTACAAGAAATAACTCAGCTTAAATAAACCCTTCATTCCCACTTTCATGTTAAAGACCTTGACACCTTGAAATACTTTTGATATTAGAAGTTGCACATGCTCCCATAGACATCTCTCTTTGTTAGTGTAAAAATTGTTTGGACTTACTAACTCTGGTTTACTTGCATCAAAGCCATTATCAACACCCATGGGCAATTCGCTCCATCTTAGTCAAGGTTCTGGTAATGCTCTTCTTGACCAACGCTCATCCAAACACCACATTTCCTACTCAAGAACTTAATCAATTTATGTCCAAGTCTACTCAAGATCATTATTGTGCTACTACTAAAGTGTTAATATATCTCAAAGCTAGTCCAAGGAAAGGCATATTTTCCATTTGAGACTCTGCCATCCATTACAAGGGTTTAATGATATTGATTTGGCGGCTTATATTGATTCTCACCGATCAATAATAGGCTATTGTTTTTTTCATTGGAAAATCCTTAGGAAAACGAAGAAGCAAGAAACGTTTGCTGGTCCTCCTTAAAAGCTGAATACCGAGCCCTTATAACCATCGTTTGTGAGCTTCAATAGCTGAGCTACCTCTTGAGGGATGTTCACATTTCTTGTCATTGACCTCTTGTCCTTTATTGTGACAATCAAAATAGTATTCATATTGCAGCCAATTCTGTCTTTCATGAACGTACAAAGTACCTGGATATTGATTGTCACATTGTTTGCAAGTATAATCTCTCAAGCTTGAGTTAATCAACATATTTTCATCTCCAACGTGTGGGACTATCAGAGATTAATAACCCAGTGGTATAAGCCCAAGAATGATAATGACCCAAGCCTAGGAATGAGACATTCTTGAATCTTAATAATAACCCAGTGGTACAAGCCCAAGAATGATAATAACCCAAGCCTAGGAGTGAGACATTCTTGAATCTTCCAAATCTATTATTCTCTGTTAGTGCCAGCTGATTGTTCTTGTCATATCTATTTTGCTACTACTTTTGCTGTTTTGTATATTTTGTTATGTACATAGAGATTTTTATGTTTATCATCAATGATTGTATAGGAACCTTGGATCCATATATATCCCTCTGTATTTTGACAGGCGATATGCAGACAATAAAATAACAGTTTTTCCTCTGCACCTTGTCTAAGTTTATTGGCCCTAAATATCTATAAATTTGTGACATGTTGTATTTTGATTTGACTTAAATGGAATATTGAATTATTAATGGATTGATGAACTATTACTGAACTAGTTATTATATTTTCAAAGGTAGGAGCTGGTCTTCCTGTAATAGCATGCCTGAATCGCATAATGTTTTCTGGTGATCCCGTTCATCAAATTATTGGGAGTTTGAGTGGTATATATCTTTCATGATCAATTACATATTATTTTTAGGTTTTCCAACATGTATTATTAATAAGAAATTAGTTTTCTTGATATTGTATTTTATGCTATTTGCTCTTATTAGGGACATTGGGGTATGTAATGAGTGAGGTTGAAGAAGGAAAGCCACTGAGCCAAGTTGTTAAAGATACTAAAAGTCTGGGGTATACTGAACCAGGTTAGTTCTTCTACTTTTGAAATTGAAACTGGTTAATCAATATAATCTATTGCTAGCTTTGACTTTGACTAGTAATACTACACTAGTGTTGGGCCAAATTATTAGTATAAATTGGACCATTGGTTAGTCACAGCATCAACACACCATATCAATCTAAAATTATTCTCACATCGCCTAAATCTTATAATTCCAATGATTTTAATATTTGAATGAGCTATTAACATTTTTTATGGTAAAAAGAGCTTGTAACATTATGAAGTAGATTCTTAGGTTAGGCATTGGAATGATTAAGTCTTCTTGTTTTTGGTCATTTCCTCTTGATCTCTGTTTGGTAATAGCTGAGTTAGTTAATGATAATTTACCTTTTGGGTGTTTAGATTATTTATACATCCTATCTTGTTGCAGATCCACGTGATGACCTTGCTGGATTGGATGTCGCTAGAAAGGTTCAATGCAGTTTGATTTACATCTAAAGATTAATTCTGTAGCTGTTTCTAATCTATTTAAAAGCTTATAATGTCTTACAATCAACAAAAAATGTCTTTAGGTCTCATAAGGCACTGCACATTATTGTGTTGTGACACTGACTAGTTCTAGGAATACCATGCTCTCCAAGAACTAAAAGAATGATAGGGAACCTAGCTGTGAAGAGTCCCGAATGAATTATTAGTTGTAGAAAGAATTACATGGAAGAGTCTGAATGAATTAACAAAAAGCTCCCTACATACAAGATCTATAGTGTTATTTATAGCCAGCTGACACAACTAACTTCTAACAACCTACTAAAGTAGCAAGTTTGACTACTAACAATTTCCACAGTTACCAACCTCTAATTTAGATTGCTGACATAATTTTCATGACATTGTCCCTGCCTTGACAGCATCCTTGTCCTCAAGGATGAAAAGCTGGAAATTACTTCTTCAATTAATAGTAGTATCCCGAAGGGGCATCCTTTGGTAGATGATGTTTCCATTTTACCAGCACCTTTGTCACCAACAAACCCCTTCGTTTGATCTGATCTAGAATTGATTCTGGCACCATTTTCTACAAAAACGTCCTCCTGCGTTAAGGCAAATCAATGGTTGTGGCTAAAGTTTCCCACATATTTTTTAAGTTTGAAAACATGAAATACATTGTGAACCTTAGAGTGAGTTGAGATATCAAATCTATAAGTGTTGTAAAATCAGAAAAAATAGCAAAGTAGTATAAAACCAGAAACAAAGAAAAACAGAGAGTGATACAGAGCTCAACAGTGAACAAAAGGGAAGAAAACTCAGTTGTTCATTAATGCCATAAAGGTTTTCTTTTTGTATACATAAAGAGATATGTAAATCTCCACAAAATAAGGACTACCACTCCTTTCTACCTAATATTTGACCATACAACCTACTCTTCCTTAAAATAAGGATTTTCACAAAACCAAAAAGCAATCAGAAGTTACATAAAGTATTCTAGAAAAAACTCAATTTCTAACACTCCTCCTTGAGATTTTTCTTGAATACTCCAAGCTTTGATCTTAGAAATTCAAACTTGTTCTTGGAAAATGCTTTGGTCATAATATCAGCAATCTGATTCTCTGAACTACAATGCTCTACGCTGATTTCTTTTGATTTCTCTGCTTCTTTAATGACATGATATTTCACCTTGATGTGCTTTGTTCTACTATGCTGGACAGGATTCTTTGCAATTGCAATGACTGACTTGTTATCAACTCATATGACAGTAGCTTCATCATTTAGTTCCCTCAAATCATGCAAAATTTTTCTAAGCCAAATGGCTTGATTTGCAGCCGCTACAGCTAAAATATATTCAGCTTCAGCTGTAGATTGAGCCACCACATCTTTTGACTTGTGATCCAGTTTATCTCTCTTTACTCTGGAATATGAGTATAACATATGCAGCCAAATATTTTGAGATATTCCACTGAGGGTTTCCTTCCATACCATGCTTCATAAGGTGTTTTGCCTTTCAAGGCTTTGGTAGGCAACATATTCAGCAAGTATGTAGAGGTGTTAACTGCCTCTGCCCAAAAGGTTTTGGGAAGATCTTTTTCAAAGAGCAAACACCTTGTCATCTCCATAATGGTCCTATTTTTTCTTTCACTCACCCCATTTTGTTGAGGGGTGTAAGGAACAATTAATTGCTGTTGAATTCCTGCTTGTGCACATAATTTTTGAAACTCCCTTGCTGCATACTCAGTTCCATTATCAGATCTGAGTTTTTTTATTTTGCTTCCAGCCTCATTTTCAACTACCAACTTGAACTTTTGAAAAATAGCAAGCACTTCTGATTTCTTTTTAGAAAAAACACCCAACTCATCCTTGTAAAGTCATCTACAAACAATAGAAAATATCTATTGCCATTTAAGGATGTTGAGCTCATTGGGCCACATATATCAGTGTGTATAAGTTGCAGTTTTTCAGTAGCTCTCCAACTGGCTTCATTAGGAAATGGTAATTTGCTTTGCTTTCCATATTGACATACATAACACACATCATCATGTTCTTGAATAGAAGGCATATTCTGAACTAAATTATTACACTTCATTAGCTTTAAGGTTGAGTAACTAAAGTGACCAAACCTCTTATGCCACAAGGAAGATTCATCTTCTATGCTAGGAAAAGCTTGCTCAATAGTTTGTTTCCATTCTAAAGGAAAACTTTTCTCTCTCATTTTGACAGACATTAGCTCACATCCATAAGGATCATATATGGTACATCTAATATTTTCAAAATGCAAAGCATAATTCTTTTCAAGCATTTGTCCCACACTCAAAAGATTTTGACTCAACTTAGGCACAAATAAAACATCTGAAATATATTTGGTACCTGTAGGAGTTTCAACAACAACCACTCCTTTTCCTTTGACATCAACATTTTCTCCATTGCCAATAGTGACTTTTGACAAGTAGGACTGATCAAGTTCCTTAAAAAAACTAGCATCATGAGTCATATGATTAATACAACCGCTGTCTATGAGTCAAACTTCTTTGTTTCTACTTGCATAATAACAAGAAGCAATAAACAACTGCTCCTCACTCTGTTCTTGGTACTCAGCAACTTGAGCTTGTTGTCCTTGCTGCTTTGCCTTGTTTTTGCAAACTTTTTCTACATGACCAAGCTGGTTAGAGGCCCTACACTTGACTCCAGGCCTAAACCAACAGTAGTTTTCTGTATGGTTTGTCTTTTTCAGTGACGACAAGGTGGAAACTTCTCTTTTCTACCTCCTCTTTTGTAGTCGTCATCTTTTTTTTCTTTGTCTTTCTTCCCACCAATAGGTTTTTTTTCATAGATACTTCTACCTTGAGGTTTGCCTTTGGTGTTAACCACAAAAGCACCTTCAACATTTTCTTTCATTCTTAGAAGTCTTCTCTGCTCAGTAGCTAGTAAAGCATTAACCAGTTCTGTAACTGAAATCTGAGAAAAATCTTTATTCTCTTCAAGAGAGGATATTTTTGACTCAAACCTCCCTGGAAGACACACCAATATTTTTTCCACAACTCTTTGATCTTTAAGTTCTTCACCTAGCAATCTAATCTGAGTAACAACTTTAGAAAGTCTGTCAGAAAACTCTTTCACTGCTTCAGACTCCTTCATTTTGATTGCTTCAAATTCTCTTCTCATATTCAGTACATTCATCCTCCTTGTTCTTTCGCTACCTTGGAACTCCTCCTTTAACTTTCCCCAAGCCTCTTTTGTTGTCTCAAGATTCAATATCTTGATAAAAACATCATCGTGAAATGTTGCATGCATGATGGCAAGTGCCCTGCCATCCTTTACCACTTCTTCATTATGGAGTCGTATTTGAGCCACAGTTGGGTCATTGGATAAAGGGGCTGGATTACTTCCATTTTCCACCACATCCCACAAAGTTTGTGCTCTCAAATAAGTTCTCATTTTCGCAGCCTACAAATCATAATTTTCTCCCACAAAAATTGGAGGTGGAGGTAAAGAACTGCTACTGGATGTCATTCTCTGTTATTGGTATTTTTTTTCTGGTTTGTATGTAACTTTTTAACTGATTTTCACTCCCTCACAGGCCCTTAAAATCAATGGGCTCTTGATACCATGTTGTAAAATCAGAAAAAATAGCATAGTAGTATAAAAGAAGCAACAAAGAAGAACAGAGAGTAATACAGAGCTCAGCAGTGAACAAAAAGGGAAGAAAACTCAGTTGTTCATTAATGCCATAAAGGCTTTCTTTTTGCATACATAAAGAGATATGTCAATCTCCACAAAATAAGGACTACCACTCCTTTCTACCTAATATTTGACCATACAACCTACTCTTCCTTAAAATAAGGATTTTCACCAAACCAAAAAGCAATTAGAAGTTACATAAAGTATTTTAGAAAAAACTCAATTTCTAACAATAAGATATAGTACCAATCCAGTCCAATATTCTATAAGGGCCGAAAAACTTGGAATTTAGCTTAGAATTGCTCTTGAATGCCACAAAAATTTGTGTATATGGGTGTAATTTTATGTAGTCAAGTCGCCTATCTAGAACCATCTATCACTCCAATGTTTGTTAGTGTCGCCGCCGTCAAAAAGAGGCAGTCGGAGCGACGTGATGGTTCCGACTTTCCGTTTTTCGCGTTTTTATGGGTGATGTTACAACGTGTTTAGGTTGTCCGATAACCGGGCTGAGCCTAGGGGCGAGGTTTTCAAAAAGGTGTTCTTGAGTTGTCCGATAACCGGGATAACCCAAGAACTAATTTAGAGGGGTTCTTATGGAGTCGCCACCGATGTTTTTACCGGAAACATCGAAAAAGGAGGAAAAAGGCATTGGTTTTCGAAAACCAACTTTGGCCGTTAAAACCAGAGTTTAGGTAAGGGAGTTAGTTACGTGTAAGGGAAGTGTTAGTTCCCTTACGACGCCCCTTTCGGGTTCCCTATGATAGGCCAACTATTTAATAAATAAACTTGTAAAAAGATGCTTTTACCCTTTTATTTATGGAATTAAAGTAACAACTACATGACCCTAATATCTATTACGCAATTTTAATTATAAAAATAAAGGCAGTAAAAGAGAGGGAGAGAGTGAAGAAACCTTCGAAGCAAGCTTTTTAATTAATTCTCTGAAAATTAGGGTGCGTTTTGGCAGCCCTTCGCTCTTTACAACGCTGGAAAACTCTCGGAAACGCTATAAAAAGCTCTTAAAAACTCTCAGAAACTCCAGAAATGCTTCAGAGGGGTTCTAGGAAGAAAATTTGAAGAATTTGTAGAAGGGAAAGTGGAAGAACTGTGTGAAATGAGAGGGGGTGCGCTCACTATTTATAGGGATTCACACCTGTTAGGTCGAGACGGTCGTCTCGCCATTCGGGACGGCGGTCTCGACTTGTAAAAGTGGCGAGACCGCCGTCTCGTTTGGCGAGACGGCGGTATCAACTTTCCCAGAAACGAGAAGGCCTTCTCACCAATCGGGAAGGGGGTCTCACCATTCGCAGGTGGCGAGACGACTGTCTCACCAAACGAGACGGCGGTCTCGACATGCTGGAATGGCGAGACGGCAATCTCCAAAAGCGAGACTGCAGGCTCGATCCCTCAAGGCGAAAATCCTTATTTTAATGCACAAAATCCTTCTTATCCTAGTATGGGGCCTAATAGTCTCTCCCAATGGCTTCTTAGGCTTCATCCATCTTCGAAAAGGAGGTCTTCTG